ATATAAAAAAAAAAAAAAAAAAAAAAAAGGCAAGACATCTGTTACTATTGATTCTCTCTACTGGAAGCAGCAATAGGTTGGAATTAGATACTGAAGGGAGACACTTTCACCTTCAGGTCACTTGACTGAATCTGGAGTAGGATAAAAAACCCCACAATCATCTTCTAATAGCCAACTTCAGACTTGCAAATGACTAAAACCAACACGTACACCAACCAGCCCCCCAACTCAGAAGTCAAACACCTCAGTGGATGCACAGGCTGAACACCAGCGTCACCAGTGGAAAAGACTGAAGACCGCAGAGAAGTGCAAAAGCAGATGCTGCTCCCTGTGCTCCTCTGCCTGCTCTGCAACTGCAGCGCTTCTGCCAGCACTGGCAAGGGGTTTCATTCATCACTTCTCTCTCACCTATATCAATAGTTCCCTAGTAGAAATAAAACATTCTCTCCAAGTGACCACTGACCACAGTGCACTGTGAAGCCAACAGAGCTGAGCTTACACTTTTGTTGAAGGGTATACATTTCCAATCCGTCTACCCTGCCTATAAAACTCTGAAGAGAAACAATATTTAAGCGGCTGTTTTACATTCTGTCATTGATAGGCCAAGTCCAACTTCTGATCTGTGAAATCCGAAAGGAGCAGGTCTAAAACATCAGTACTGAGCACTGGCTATAACTTCAAAATTACACAGCTTAAGGTTCCAGTAAACTCATTGGTAATTTCAGGTTTCCCTCCATCAGCAAGAGCTAAGCTACCACAATAGCCTTGCTTTTCCCCCTGGGCAGTGGCGCGCTGCCCTGCCACTCCTGTGCTCCAGCTAATGGTAGAACTTATTCTATAGTGACTTACCAGAGAAAAAGCAACAGTGTACTGAGCAAGACTGATGCATAACATATTTTGGAGATCTTCCTGCGCATACAAATGATCTTAGATTTCACCAGCATGACCAGATCCCTTTTAGGAACAGTACAGGTTTGAATTTTTCTATTACACTAATTCATCCTTTTAAGTATCATTTGCCCCTTGTACTGTATAACAAAAGTGATTCTTATAAATTTCAGCCTCTCAAATGATATATAAAAATACTTAGCATCAGAAGCTCTTAGACCTGTAAACCACTGTCTACCACCTGGTAGTTCCTTGCTGGTAGTCAGGAGAAGCCTAACCTACCCTCTTATTTCCAACTTTCTTTTTGCGCAAGAGAGTAAGGACCATTTTCCAGTTAAAGCATAGCACTTGTCACAAAGGACAGGTTCATTTTCAGCCTCTTTTAGATGTACCTGTGTGATCCTCTGAGCCAGTCAGAATTTCCCTCTGAGTCCATTTTGCCATCTGTAAGACAGGACCTTTCTTTTTACCCTATTTCATCTGTTTTATCTACATAAGTCATAGGTTCTTCAGAGCAGGGACTATTCTTTTACTAACCCTACACACAGAACAATCCTCGTGCACTCCAGTGAAGATGACAATCCAGAAAGTAGTGGACACTATCTCTTGCTAGTGCAGCCTCAAAACTGGATGATTTTGTTGAATATCTGCTTTAGCTACAGTTACCAGAATAAAAAAAACAAAGTTAAACAAGTGTAAGAGCTCATGACATATAGGAAGTCAATCTATATGATTCATCACCCCTTCTTGCCCTTGCTCTATAAATCTATGTGATCCTGTACTTCAAACAGTGGAGCCCAGACACTCATTGAGACACTGTAAATGCCACCACAGTCTAAAACTGGTGCTACATGAAGATGCGATCAATGGCACCTTAACTATTACAAGTACTTACCCCAAATGTATGTAGAGACAATACAGGTGATATCTTGGTTTGTCATACACAAGATTACAATTATGCTTTATAAAATGCAGTCAAGAGAAAAAGGAGGCAAGAACTTTTCAGTATGAATGTGATAGCCATTTAAAGAAACTTTGGTCTAGCAAACAGCATGAGCCATTAAGCAGTTTTAATTATTGTTTCTTTAACAAAAGTCATCATACAAGTAAACATTAAGGTATGTCAACACTTTAAGTTATTCTTTCCCCTTCAGGAGTTACTGCCATGATTTGGTACTTCTCCCACCACAAACTACATTCCAAGCATAACTTTCAGAAGTCTATACTATTTCAGAAACTATTTAGCTTTTAAAAGTGGTGCAATGAAATCACAGTTATCACTTTCAGAAGAGGTATTTCTGCCAGCAGATCTCATAACTATGGGGAGCAGAGGAATGAGATCTTCATTTATGCTTTCTCTCTTCTTTATAGCAAACAGGATTTAAAAATAGGCCAATCAACTTAATACATTTAACAACTACAGATTATTACAAGTGGAACAGGCAATACACCAAAAAACTATCATGTAAGGATTGTTCAAGCAGACAGTCCTTGCAAACCTTATATCAGATAGTAAAGGCTCAAGGAAGTCACTGGCCAATTCACCACCTCTGACTTTGGGCACGTTAGGTGGCCCCAGACATGAAACATAAGAGAGGGTACGGCTGCTTTCTGCCACCTAAGTTCCCGCCTGGCAGGAATCCCAACAGCGGAACCTCAGAGAAGCATGCTGAAAAACAGATGTTGGCAAAAACGGCAGCAGAGGAGAAGGGACAAGGGGCAGATGATTAAAAAACAAATACATATTTCCTACATGGAAAAAAGGTAAAACAAAACAATGGCAATGGTATGTATGGTATTCACACCAGAGAACTTTACATGTCAGACATTCATCCTCCAAGTCTCTGCTTCAGTTCCAAGATGAAAGTCCTGGAAAAGCTAAACTAGACTCC